ACACAATTTATATGTAATTGTTAAGATAATTAAAAGTTCTACAGAAATGGGGAAAGTACGAGGAAAATAAAGGAAAGGAAAGAAAAAGAATGATGATGATGAAGGAACTGAAATGAATGAATATATTAATAAAATACCAAATTAGAATTAGAATTTCTCTGTGATATTTTGGTGTTTCCCTTCAAATTAAAACATATATATAGAAAATATTGGTGATGTGCCGATTACTGGAGTCACACGGGAGATTGTTTAACAAACAAGCTTTATCGTCATTAATAATTTACTGGAGGAAAGTTTTGGGTTTATCTATGCACACTAAGTAGTTATAAGTTGGCTTTATAATAAAAAAGAGGAATAAACTGGGGCTGTGTATCATGTCACACAGGGCATACCCATGATCTGGATTTGAAGAGGCCCTCCGGCTTTGGGCCCAGGTACTGGTCCTGGTTCTGGTTCTGGTCCTGGTCCTGGTCCTGGTCCTGGTCCTGGTCCAGGTCCTGGTCCTGGTCCTGGTCGTAGGGCACGCCAGTGTTTGAAGAGGACCCGCTGCCCCTCAGGTGCTCCCTCCTATAAACTGCATGGTCCTCGGCCTCCGTCTGCCCCAGAGGCTCGATCAGGTAAACCTGCTGCTGAGCTCTCAGGAAGCCGCTGAGCAGAGAGAAGTGTCACAGAGGAAATATGAATCAGCCTCAGCCAAGAGTTTGGAGCTCTCCAAATATACAGAAACAAACTTCAACTAACAGTTTATGAGGTCCCAGAGAGGACAGGCCTTACACCATAAACAGATTACTAAACATCATGAAGCAACACATTTCCCAAGTCGCTGAGATACTTTCTCTGCAAACAGAGTTCTGAAAGAGGTGAGTTACAAAGGGAAAGTGTGAGGCTGTAGAAATATCCTGATTCTCTCACCTGATGCCCGAGCAGATCCCCACGCTGACCGAGGAGTCGGCCACGCCCCGGATGTGTCCGTGGTAGAAGCAGTGCTCCTGGAGGGAAACAGCCAGAGGTCGTTGGCTCACACTAACCCTCAAAACAAGCCTCTTTGTGTTTAACGGTCACAAAATTTGTGAATCACTCGTCTGGAATGCAGCAGTTTTTATCAAATTTGGTCTCGTTTCAAACACCCTGAGGTCCCACGCACGCGTCTGCAGACACGTTTTATTATCAGACAAATGACACTTTAATATGC